CAAGGACACGAGACACTACAGACTCCACCTCGAGCACCCTGGGGGCCGTGTGGATCAGCAGCCCCATGTACAGCATGAGGGCGGAATAATCGACCTCTCTGGCAAGCCTGACCAACTTAGATGGGTCGATAGAATCAAAAAATTTTTCCATATCCCAGTGGGCCGAAAGGGACTGGCATCCTTCCTCACGGGCAATTTCGTGGACCAACTCGCGAACCATGGCCGCTCTCAGGGCCGAGGAATTTTTAACAGCAGTATCCCAAAACGCAACATGAGAATCGGTCCATTCCAAAATACGGTCACCCCTGAGTTTAGTATACATCCTATACAAGGTGGGGCATTTGGTGATAGGCCGTTCCGCGCTCACGGTCTTAGGGATAAGGGCCACAAGACACAAGTAGACCTGAACAGGGAAACTCTGGGTGTATTCGAACGCATTGAAAAGGTCACTCAGATCCTGCAAAGCTTCTGGCGGCAGCTGCAAAATGTCCTTAGGCGACCAACTGTCGACTCCAAGGCTAGTTCCTGCAGGGAAATACTTGCGAACCCGCATTACATCATGCGGTTGGATGGGGATTAAACCAGTGGCCTCAACGGCCGCCTCGTGCCGGAGCTGACCCATGCTATACACGAGGGATTCGATTTGACTACTGGATGGGGTCCACCACTTCTCCCAAAACAGCTCTCGCACTTCAAGCATCTCGGTGGGGGATTGGGCCACTTTACCTTGATCAATGAGGAATTCAACCTCCTGCTTAGAACCGTGCTTCAACCACCGATGGATGGGTTTGGCTCCCCCTTTGAGGCCCTCGGACAACCACTTCTTAATGCAACCCTGACCAGCTTCTCGAGCCTGCGTCCACGCACGACGAAGGATGGGTTCCAACCCTTCCTGCATAACGTCAACCGAGGTAGGGTCAAGGGGGAGGTTCTTCAGACGTTCAGCCCAAACCTGGGCCTGCCTGGCGTTCACCAGGGCGGTGATGTGCTGGCCGACCTCGTCAGCTCGTTGAATTAGGACATTCCTGAGGGCGGAGAGGCGCCGAGTTCCTCCTCGCTTCAGGGCAACTTTCAAATCAAACAGCCTGGAGGAAACAAAAGACCAAAAGGCAAGCGTCGGGCACGCAAAGCCTTGCCGAAGGGGACCCCTCCTGCCAAGTTTTCCCAACCGAAACTGGACCCCATGACCTCTTTGTCCCCCAGGGGACTCTTGACAGGACCGAGACAACATCAGGTTTTCGGCAGCAACTGACCATTTTTGAAACCCCTCAGACAGCGGTCCTGGAGGCCCAGCTCCATGAAAGGGAAGGAATGCCGAACGAACTTCAGCAGGAACAGAGACTTGCTGGCGGGGAACTCGATGCAAGTGCACTTGCCATGGCAGGTCAGGCCCAACGGCAGGAAGGAAGCGTGGTGGTTTGTCCCGCTTACATACAGGAACCGATAAGATATTAAGTGGGAGGTGGACATGTAAACATGCATGCGTCTTGAAACCCGAGGTAAGATCAGCATTCATGGAAACATACGGCCGAAGGGAACGAGATATCACTCCATAATCAATCATCGAACCAAAGCCTTTATCACATGTGAAGTCGACATTCATGGGTTCAACCACCACGCCATTAACAAGCTCACAAAATCCGCACTCATGCAGATCAACGGCAGGCATATTGAAATCTCCAAGCAAGAGGAACGGGGTGTTAATCATGCGCAAGAAATCAGTCACTTGCTGCAAACGCTTCAAATTGTCACCGACGAGACCCAAATCAGAAATGAGATAGATAACCCCAATAGCCATAGACACTCCATGAGTCTTCAACTCAAGGAAGAACCAACATTCTCCCGATCCAAATTCCTGGGCTCCTCCAAGAGCCGACCGAAGATATTTCTTACAGTAGAATCCTTTCTGAACGACTCCTCCAACTCCCCCATGGGTACCTCCTCCTGGACTAGGAAGTGCTGCTTGGAAGTGTGGGCGCCAGCCCATCTGAGAACAGTCTTTCTTAACGGTAGCCAAACGTTCATGCTTAACGTGATGTTCTGCGAACAAGAAGATGTCAGTCTGACCGATAGCTTCCGAGATCTCTCCCTTGGCCAACGCAGACCAACTCGAAATGTTGCAGAACTTCACATCAAGGCTTCCAGCAGCCTTACTAAAGTAGCTGCTGGGGTGGTACTGCCTGGGGGGCGGCAAGCTTGGCGAAGCTGCTGACAAAGAGATTATTAGCATAGTCCGAAACTCTAAGGCGCTTGTCCGCCTTGGTCTCGAACTTTTTGGTGAGGAGGGCCTCCAGCCGCTCCAAATCTTCAGGGGAAACCTCCTCAGCTGGCCTCTTGCGAAGCTCACGAATTTCCTTCTCGGTCTCATCCAACTCCTGGTCCCCTTCGTCCAAGCCAGGGACAGCTTGTTCCTCACCACCACGAAGAATGTTCTTGGCTGCCTTCTGTGCGGACCGTAACAACTGCCACTCGGAGAAGGGGACCTTTGTCGAATCTGCCACTTTCCGAAGTTCATCATCGGAGAGTTCGTGAAGGCGTTGGACGATATCAGGATCATAGGTGGATTGATTGCCAGAACTGCCCATGTCGCCCCCTGCTGCAGGAGCCTGATGTCCTCCGCCCACAGGTACGCCTGCGGGTTCCATGGGAACATCTTGAGGTCCTTCTCCTGGTGCATGGACTCCAGCAGCACGGGCGGCTTCAGCTGCAGCTTTGGTACGTGACTTGAACTCTTCCTCATCAAAGTTGTTCTGCTTCTCCTTGGCATTGTTGAGCTTGTTGCGTGCTTCTTCCAACCCAGCGGAGGCTGCTTGGAATGCGGATTCAGCTTGGGCGACTTTCTCCCTAGCTTTCGCCAAGGCGTCCTGTCGAGCACTGCGGTCTTGCCATGCCAGTCTTTCTTCTTTTGCTGCCTGCTCAACTTCTTTGGCAAGCTCCGTACGTTTGGCCGCCACCAGTGATTCCAACTCCACATTGGTAGGAACTGCAGGAAGCGGCTCAGGGGGAAGTGCAGATGCCAGAAGAGATTGAAGCTCAGGAAATTGAACGAGTGCAGCACGGGCTTGATCTGCCAGCGAGGACGAAACATCACTTTGTCCTCCACCAACCTGCTCTGAAAGACCTCCTGGAAGCCCGTGCGGTTGTTCATACCCTTTATATGCGGACTTACATACTCTGCACCAAGCGTGACCTCTCCAATCCCATTCCCAATGGCCACACTTGCTGCACACGCTGTAGGACTGATGCTGACCCCGCCAATCATTGCCACGACTGCGGGAACGAGAATTGCGCCAACCATGGTTACCCTTGCCCCACTGCGCCATTGCATGCACTGCAGGACGTGGGCTTGCTCCTCCAGGAGCTCACAGGTGCCCCCCTGTGGGGCGAAAAGCCAGGAGCCTCGAGCCGCTCCCTCGGCTGCACACAAGCTCCCAGCGCGGGAGCGACGTTGGGAACTTGAGCCAAAATGGCTACGGTGGAGGGAGGAGGAGGAGGAGGAGAAGGAGGAGGAGGAGGAGGAGGAGGGAGGAGGAGGAGGAGGAGGAGGAGGAGGAGGAGCAGGAAGGAGCAGCAGGAGGGAGGAGGAGGAGGGAGGAGGAGGAGGAGGAGGAGGAGGAGGAGGAGGAGGGAGATGGCCCCAGGACGGCTCGAGAGGGCCCGACGCCGGCCCCACCAAGGCTCGAACAAGGCCCACACGGCGTTCTGACCCACCAAGCTGATTCGAATCCCGAGTTCGCAACCACATTTCCCAGAGATCTGTCGCGAGCCCAGGGTTCGGTGCATTCCCTAGGAATTGCTATCATTTACTCTCGCCAGCCTCGTTGCGACCCGCTGCAGCATGCCACCTTCGGTTTGGCACTGCTTCGTATTTTGCGGCATTGCTTGACATTGCGTCGGCTTGCTTGGCCATCATTCGCGTGGCTTGCCATTCCTTGGCGCAGCGCAACTGACATTCTTCGCCGCCCCCCGACGGCGCCATCTCGTTCCCTCCTGCTCCTCTCTGGGTCCTCCTTCTCCTCCTCCTCCTCCTCCTCCTCCTCCTTCACCTCGTCTTCCTCCTCCTCCTCCTCTCCTCTCCTCCTCCTCCTCCTCCTCCTCTTCCTCCTCCTCCTCCTCCTCCTCCTCCTCCTCCTCCTCCTCCTCCTCCTCCTCCTCCTCCTCCTCCTCCTCCTCTCTCTCCCGCCACACCACTTGTCCTCCCCCACATCCGCTTCCCTCTCCTCGCTCCACGAGATCGCCCTCCACCCAGAGCCCGCAGAGGCTTGGGAAGGGCCACGGACCGCCCGAACTTTCGAAGATTTCCGAAAACCACCGCAGGGAAGAGGCAAAATGTTCAAATTCACTAGGGATGGCGCGAACGACCAACATGAGCAAAGGCTCAAGGACCAAGGTGCATGGCGCGAAGCGCCCATGCAGTCTTGTATACATGGTGCGATATAGGTAGTGCAATTCATATCGTGCAATCTATGTTGTGCAATCCATGTGGTGCAATCAATGTTGTGCAATCTATGTGGTGCGATCTGCATGGTGCACTATCTGTGGTGCATTCTATGTTGTGCAATCTGTGCGGAGCAATCTATGTGGCGCAAAACGACGGGGCGGCGAGGCGGCGACGTGGCGGCGACGGCGACAGCATAGCCGCCAGACTACCACACCCGCCCGGACGACGGGCGGCGACGAGGTGGCGACGGGCCTGCGATGGCGACAACATAGCCGCCAGACCGCCACACAAGCAAGAACCCCTAAGTGCATGCACTGGTTGGGGAAATTGTCGGAGCTTCGCGCGCCAGGGGCGGCGCCGGAGGCGCCGTCAGGGGGCCCCAGCGCAGATCCAAGAAATCCGCGCGGAGCTCTGAAAGTGTATGTTTATGCAGTTTCCGTAATAAGTGAGTAGATTCCCCAATTCCCGTATTCGAGTGCATATTTATGCAGTCTTTTCTTAATCATAAACCCAATGGGAAGCCCCTGCTCCTGACGCTCTCCCTCCACCGCCGCCGAAGGGCCGGCAGCGCCCCGGATCCTGCAGCGGCCGCGCGCGGAGCAGGCCAGTCGACAGCACGCCGCTGCCGCAGTCGCTCGTCGCTCGTCGCCGCCGGCGCCATCGCTCGTCGCTCGCCGTCGCAGCCGCCGTCGTCATCGCTGTCGTCGTATACGTATCTACTTGCGGCATTCCAGGAAATGTCTTCGCCTTCGAGGGATCGAGAAGCTTGCATCTCTTCCCTGGCGGAAGGCCAGCGGAAGGCGGCGGAAGCCGGACGAGGCCGTCTCCGCCGGCGCAATACAGCGGAAGGCCGGCGGAAGCCGGCTAAACAATGAGCCAGACGAAAGACCCAATCATGTGCAGCTGCGAGCAACGCAGGGTACGGTCTCCTCCTCGTGGGCAGCGCGCCGCGAAAGCGACGGAGCGCGGGGCAGCGCGCATGGAGGCCGCGAAACTTGCGAGGGGTGTGCCGAAATGGGGGGTGGAACCGCATGCGAACGCAGCCACTGGGGCCTTCTGTGGAGCTCCCTATGGGGCCACGAAACGTGTGAGGTGTGTGTGTGTGTGTGCCGAAATTTGGGGTGGAATCGCATGCGAACGGGGCCACGAAGCGTGTGAGGGGTGTGCCGAAATGGGGAGTGGAACCGCATGCGAACGTAGCCACTGGAGCTTTCGGTGGAGCTCCCTATGGGGCCACGGAACGTGTGAGGGGTGTGCCGACATGGGGGGTGCACCGCATGCGAACGCAGCCACTGGAGCCTTCGCTGGAGCTCCCTAGAGGGGCAACGAAACGTTGCACTGGGTGGTCCGAAACACAGAAGTGCGGAAGGCAGAGGCATGTAGGGGGAGGAGGGAGGAGGGGAGGAGGAAGGAAGGAGGGGGAAGAAGAACGCGGGGCGCTGTCCCTTCAAAACGAGGACCCAACACCACAGGATGGTTGGGACAAATTTCCAAGTGCTGTACTTTTTTGTGTTCAGGGTTTTCAGAGCCGGCTACATGTACCATATCCCCCGCAGTTCACGAGTGAGGGGACGGCGGGATCGGCGGGAGTGCTCTGAAGGAGCCCCTCCGCTGGTGCCGACCGCATTCAACTTACACCGAGCCCTCCGCAGGCGCCGAATTTTTCGTCAAAGCAATGTGGGTAGGTCGCAGGTGGCTCCCAGTCGGGTCGCGGGTGGGTCGAGGGTGGGTCGAGGCGGGTGATGGGCGGGTCGCGGGTGTGTCGTGGGTTGGTCGCGGACGATGACGTCGGAAACAACAGATAATAACAATGATCCTCACCGCGAAAGCCCGTTTCAGGCACGCACCTAGAGATCGTGTAAGACCGCTCGGCCGCCCTCATTTTGATATATTCGTAGCACCCCGCAGATGCGGATAAGAGTGAGGGGAACGGTGGGGACGTCGGCAGCCTGCAAGACTCTGGAGAAGCCCGCCGCATGAGCCAAAGTTTCACAAATTATACAATGAGCCCGCCGCAGGCGCCGACCTTTTCTTCGAACCAATGTGGATCGGTCGCGGGCGGGTCGCGGGTGGGTCGCGGGTGAGTCGCGGGGTGGGCCGCGGGTGGGCCGTGGGTGGGTCGCGGGTGTGTCGCGGGTGGGTCGCGGGTGGGTCGCGGGATGGGTCGCGGGTGGGTCGCGGGTGGGTCGCGGGTGGGTCGCGGGATGGGTCGCGGGGTGGGTCGCGGGGTGGGTCGCGGGGGGGTCGCGGGGGGGTCGCGGGGGGGTCGCGGGGTGGGTCGCGGGGTGGGTCGCGGGGTAGGTCGCGGGGTGGGTCGCGGGGTGGGTCGCGGGTGGGTCGCGCGGGGGACGACGACGACAACGACAACAACATTAATCATTTTAAGGCTGTTCGCTCTTATCTGCTCGAGTGTCCGCGACCGCGTATTTCCCAAACCGTCGATACCCGCCTTCTTCGTCTTCTCTTCGATCGTACCCCTTTTTGGGTGTATACCTTTCTTCCCTGCAGGCCGGGCCCCGGCAAGCGGCGGGGCGGCCGCGGACCGTCTGTTTGGCCAGCGGCAGCCCGACCCCAAGAGGGACGGACAGGGGACCGACCACGACGACGACGACGACGACGAGGACAAGCGAAAGCGAGAGCGAGAGAGGCAGAGAACGACAGCAGGGCCACGAAGGGTACGAAGTAGACCACGAAGGGCGACAGCGGGGACACGGAAGGAATGCGTATGGGGCCACGAAGAGCGCGAACGAGCGGGGGCCACGAAGGACAGATAATGCAGGGCCACAGAAGGCAACGACAGGGCCAGTGAGGGTAGCAACTGGGCCACGTAGGACAGCGAGGGAGCCACAAGGGGCGACAGCGGGGCCACGAGGGGCTGCGACGGGGCCACGACAGGCGCGAACGAGCGGGGGCCACTAAGGGCATGCGTATATTGGGGCGCGGAGGGCAAGGACGGGGCCACTGAGGGCAGCGAGGGAGCCGCGAAGGGCGACGACGGGGCCACGAATGGGCATGCGTTCGGGGCCATGACGATCGCGAACGAGCGGGGCCCACGAAGGGCTGGCATATATGAGGCCACGAAGGGCAGCGAGGGGGCCACGAAGGGCTGCAACGGGGCCACGATGGGCAGCGAGGGGGCCACGAAGGGCTGCAACGGGGTCACGAAGGGCAGCGAGGGGGCCACGAGGGGCAGCGATGGGGGCCACGAAAGGGTGCAACGGGGCCACGAAGGGCAGCGAGGGGGCTGCGAAGGGCTGCGACGGGGCCACGAAGGGTAGCAATGGGGCCACGAAGGGCTGCAACGGGGCCACGAAAGGCAACGCGGGGGCCACGAAGGTCTGCAACGGGGCCACGAAGGGCAGCGAGGTGGCCACGAGGGGCTGCAATGGGGCCCCGAAGGGCAACGAGGAGGCCACGAAGGGCTGCAACGGGTCCACGAAGGGCAACGAGGGGGGCCACGAAGGGCTGCAACGAGGCCACGAAGGGCAGCGAGATCCCGATTCCTAAAGTATGTGAGGGGGTCCTAAGCGTGAGCGCGACTCCTGGGTGCCTGAGTGTCGGGAGCGGAGTAAATTGCGGGAGGTTCCAACGCGACTCCACAGCGCGAGAGCGCGCTTCCTGAATACAATGCGAGGAAGTCTCGGGCGGGAGCGGGGGTCCTGGCTAAATTGTGAGGAAGTCTCAGGCGGGAGCCGTTGTTGTTGGAACCGGTGTGCCAGCAGCGTCGACCGCAACAACGACAACAACAGCAACAACAACCCCAACGACAACGACAACGACAACGACAACAACGCAACAAGCATAATTCCCACCACGGGCTCTCACTTCAGCCACGCACCCAGAGACAATCCATGATTTTTCGGCCCCCTCATTCTGATCTCTTCTGTCGCTGCCACGAGGAGGTGTACCACAGTAGATCTGGTCACTACCCACGAGAAAGCCCAGCAACCCAATCAGCGGATCTCCTGATTTGTTCGCAGGCACACCACGCCTGCCCGCTCTTTCTCTCTCTCTCTCTCTCTCTCGTTTTCTCTCTCTCTCTCTCTCTCCTCTCCCTCTCTCTCTCTATATATATATATATCATTATGTCTCCCTCTCTCTCCCACCCTGTCCTATGTACTTCCATTGCGCTCAGAGCTCGCCCTGCGTTTATTGTCCAATACCTGCCCTCCATGTTCTCTCTTTCTCTCTCGTTCTCACCCTTGTTTTTTAATGTGCCTTGTACGCACGCATTCAGCTCCTGTATGTACTCACTGCTATGTGCTCTTTGTTTACCTCTCGCACTCAGGTCTCTCTACGTATCTCTTTTGTCTTGTCATCCCCCGATTCCTGTACTATACACATATATCAACACATCTAGATTTCGTGGCCTTTGGCCCATCCAGCCCCGTTTGCGGGCCCAGCGGCCCCTTTCCCGTCCGTCGCCGCCGCCCCGCTGCACCCCCCCCTCGCCGCTGCAATGCAATCGTTCTGCAGTGCAACCGCACTGCGCTGCATTGCAGTCGCATGGCGTTGCAGTCGCGCAGTGTTGCGCTGCTCTGCGTTGCTGTGTGCTGCGCGTTGCTCTGCATTGCTCTGCCTTGCTCTGCGTTGCGTTGCGTTGCGCTCTGCCACCCAGACTGCACCACGTGTCTTCCACCACCCGCCAGACCTCACCGCACAGATTGCAGGATGTCGCTGCTTTGGGTCCACGATGGCCAGCACAAATCAGAGCGAGAGGGCCGAACGGTAAATCACTGCGCGTTGCAGCCCAGCTTGATTGAGCCAGCTTAGATGACATCTTGGGCATCCTTGGCGTAGATTTGGAGGCTCTGGATGCCCCAGGGGTGCGCTGGCGATCTCGTCCCCGCCCCGCAGGAGCAGGAGCAGGAGGAGGAGGAGGAGGAGGAGGAGGAGGAGGACCTGGCTCCCCCTCCACAAACCCCAGTGGGTTGGGGAAAGAGGGAGGGAGACCGCCAATCACGTCACACGCCTCTGCAGCCTCGGCAGGAGGGGGTCGGCCGATTGTCGGATCTCTATTCCCGATCCTTTCTGCTCAGTTGTGCTCACTACTCTCCGATGCGTCTCTCTACTCTCGTGTGTGCATGGTTCTACGCTTCCAGATCTGTGCAAGACTGCATTGGCGCTTCGTGCCACGCACCTTGGTCCCTCAAGCTTGGCATACAGGCGGAAGGAGAGAAAGGTCAACAAGACCATTTACTTAGCGATCACTCCTTGCTACCTTTTCCGACATCGTCGTTATATCGTTTGCCGGTGTTAGTGCTAATTGTTGCTTGTGGTTTTCTTACCCTTCCCTCATGTTTCTTCTGCCCCTCTCTTATTCTCGCCCTACCCTGCGAGCTCTTCCCAATTATCCTCTGCTCTTTTGGCGAGGGCTCCTTCTTGGAGAGCCTCTCGGGGGCCTCACGTGGCAGGCCTCCTGGGCGCTTTCTGGGGCCTCGGGGGGCTTTCTCTGGCCACCCTGCTTTCAACCGCGGTCTCCTCTGAACGACCAGGTCACGATTTTAAGCGCTTCGGTGGGAGGGGGGAGGGCGGTGTTTTGATGCCATCGTGGACCGTCATGGGGCTCTCTTCGGCCCATCTTGGGGCGTTGGTCCGTGTTGGGGCCCTCTTGGACTATCTGGCAGCCCTCTTGGGTAGTTGTGGAGCGATTTTCTAGCTTTTCGGTCGGGCGGTCTTGGACGCCTGGAAGACCTGCGTTCCTGGGGTCACGGATCTGGGGGCACGTGTTCCGCAGTGTTCGGATCAATATGAATATATGACAGGGAGCATTTTACCATTCTGACCTTGGTCGCATGGACCCGGAAGAAGTCCAGAACCCAGCAATTCTACCGTGCTGGGAAGCGTTTCAAGACCGGGAACTTGGGAACCTGGCCGCCCATGAATTCGGCCTGCCTCTTTCGCTTCCTCCTTCAGTCTCCGCTTGGACCGCTTCGGTGCAACAACTGATTGGGGAATTCTAGACGCTTCGCGTCACCCCACCAGCGGTGTTCGTGGCGTGCCTGGCATCCCGCCGCCTCGCTGTCGGTGCTCTGCTTGGCACTGTCGTTGCCCCACCGCCGCGGCCCCGCCTTCGTGCTCTCCTTGCACATAAAGGGGCTCCATCACGTTCGTGCCTCTTGGCCTCCCCCTGGGGATCCCGAGTCCCCCGATGAGTGCCTACACGGTTTGCCCTTTTCGACTACGTGATTGTGGTCATCGTCCCCCTCGATTGCGCGGGCGTGGTCTTCGGGAACTACGGCTCGAATTTCCTCGCCATTTTGGCGCTGCGCGCGGACCGGATCCACCCCCTGGTCTCCTACGGCATCGGCGTTTTCGGCATGTTTTTCAGCGTCCTATTCGCCTTCTGAGTCGCAGCGTAGTTCGCTCCTTCGCGCTTAGTGCCTAAGTTAGATCTTGGCGCGGTTGCCTTGCTTCTGGACGGCGCGCGGGTGGACCGTGACGCTCGCGAACAAAAAAAGAAGAAACACCAGCCCATTCAGAAACGATGCCCAGTGGAATTGCCTCGGCCGGGGAGACACAAGGGAAGGGTCCCCCAGTGGAAGCCTCTTGGAGCGTCTTGGGGGCCTCTTGGCGGTCCTTGGCGCCTCTTAGAGCTTCTTGGGTGCCTCGGAGAGCTTCTCGGGGCCTCTTGGGAGTCTCTTGGGGGCTTCTTGGGGGTCTCCTGTGAGCCTTTTGGAGGCCTTTGTGGGGGCGTCTGAACGCCTCTTGGGGCCCTACTGGGGCGCTCGTGGAAACCTTGGAAGCGCTCTTGGAGACCTTTTGGAAGATTTTAGAGCCATTCTGAAGCCTCGGATGGGCATCGGAAGCGAAAAAGCGAAACAGCCAACAACACTGATGTCCCTTAGGTTTTGGAAGGATCTGGGCCCTTAGCGGGGCCTCCTGGAGGAGCTATTTGGCCACTTGGAGCCGTCTTGGAGCGGTTGTGGGCCCTCTTGGAGCATCGTGGGGGCCATTTTGAGGCATTTTGGGATATCGTGAGCCATCGTGGAGGTCATCTTGGGCTCGCCCAGGCGCCCTTGGAGTCATCTTAAAGCAAGGCCCCCCCTCCCCCAGGAGGACATAATGTGGCCAAAACCTTTGTCAAAACAGTGATGTTGGCATTGCCGCTGAGGCCTCTTGGAGCGTCGTGGGTGCCTCTGGGGGGCCTCTTGGGGATCCCGTGGGAGCCTCTTGAGGGGCATCCTGGGGGCCTCTTGGAGCCTACTGGCCACCTCTTGGGGCCCTCCTGGGGCGCCCTTGGGAGCTCTCGTGGGGCCATTTCGGAGGAGATCGATCAAAGAAGAGGGGAGCATGGTTTAGCCTCGCCCCCCCGAAAGGCCAACATGGGGCCCACCCCCCAGTAACACCAATGATTTTGGTTTCGTCGCCGAGGCCGTTTTGGACGCTCCGACCGCTCGCGCGAAACGCCTCGTCCAGGTCCAGGGGAGGGAAGGGGGAGGGGTAAACCTTTTCCCGAAGGGACGAAAAGGGGGGGAAGAGGATACGCCTTACACCACCTACGCCCTAAAGGGCTGGTGGGGCTACTTGATACCATGTTCTCATTGTGTCTGGTATGGTTTCTCTCTCTCTCTCTCTCTCTCCCTCTCTCTTTCTCTCTACTTAGTATTTTCCTTGCATTAGTCTCTGTCTATTCATCTCTCTCGCTTCTCTTTCTCTCTCCTTATATGTTGTCGTATATATTATATGTGTTGGCCTGTACCGATACATGGTCAGGCACGTGTATACATACATTGGTGTTCGGTTTCTCTACATCTATTCGATTAAAATGTATACGTATGACCATATCTACCTCTCTGGATATCACTGTATCTCTCTCTCTCTCTCTCTCGCTGTTTCTCTTTCTCTATAGCTAAATGTGTTGTTTCGTGTTTCTGCACTGTTTTGTTTTTTTTTTATACAGATGTAGTTCTAGATCTATATATCTGCATATGTATGCATATGGTTGGTTGTTATCATTATATCATTGTTTTGTTTTTCTCTCTCCCTCTCTATATGCACAGACATATATCCTGCCAGCTCGCCCTGGTTTGTATGCTTGAGTACGCGCGCTCCAGATTGTTGTTATTTCTTCTTATTTTTTCTCTCCCTCTCTCTCTTTCTCTCTCTCTCTCTCACTCTCGGCTGAATACTTATATTTCTCTCACTTCCTGTTTGCTCAGCTCTGCCATCTTTCTACGACCTTATTTTCCGTCACCACGGACGCAAGGACCTGGGGATGTGGCCACACCGTGCCGGGAACGTTGGGCCCAGAGTTGGGAGCCCGGGAGCCGGGATCCCGGAATTTGGGGAACCCGTATCGTGATTCTGCGAGGAGGATTTGTGGAGGAGGAGGGGCTGGACGAGCACGGAGGTATCTCCAGTTTAATTCCCAGACATCCATTGCGAGCTGACCTTACTCATTCGCGGCCCCGGAGCTCCCAGTGTGGGCAGTCTTCGGGCGGGTGTAGGACGAGGATACATCCGTTTCAGAGCGTTCTGGAGCCGGGAACGCTCTGAGAAGGCCGCGGCGCCCAGGACATTTTCCAGAGCCGCCAGATCTCAGAGATTCGATTCATCCTCACCCGAGTTTATCCTCGTCCTGGATTCGTCTCAAGTCTTACAAAAGAAGGAGGAGGAGGAAGTGGAGGAGGGCATCGGGGGACGGGGATGTGTCCCGTGTGCGGGCGTCGCCCGTCGGTCTCGAGCTGTGCTTTTCCCTCCCCTGTCTTCCCCGAATTACGCTTAAGCAGGGCATGTCCCTCTACAGGAGGAATAGTTCAAGCATGGTAAAAATAGTATGGGCAGTATGGGGACGATTTGTCGTGTTTTCGTTTGTGACTATGTTTGAGTATTTGTTTGACTATTTTGTATGTGTGTTCCAAAGCCCGCCTGTCGGAGGACATGCCCGACCTAAGTCGAGCTGTATTTACCTCCCATGTACGCGTGGGTCGCGTACCCAGACATCCGGCGATCTTTTCATGTCAAGCTGCTGTCCCAGAACACCCGACCCTTTTCCAATGTTCAGTTTTGCGCCCTGGGTCAGCTTCTGATGGTCTCAGAACGGGCCCGAAAGTCAGGAAAAGCGTTTGGATTGGGGGACATCGTATCGTCGGAGATTTGGGCCCAGCGCCAGAGGCCGTGGCCTCGCGCTTCCCCCTTGAGCCCCGGAAGCGGCAGGGCAGCTTTGTTTCGCCCTTTTCACACGCTTCTGGAGCGTGGGAGGGGTAAAGATGACCTGCTCCCGCAAATCGGGGGGCAAACGGCTCCTGGAGTGTAGCCAGAAAGGGAACCTGAGACAGAGATTGCGACGGAGCTGGGAAAACGCGGCATCGGAACCGGCCATACATGGGCAACACAGGACCCGTACACAAACGGGCTTGTCGATATTCCGGAGCGACTCATGGACGTACACGTACATGACTCCACGATGGTTTCGAGAGGACGCATTGCGCGACCGTTCGTATCACGCGGATGGTCTCGCAGACGGGGGGCCTTGTTCTTGTACGTGGTTGGGCGCGTACGTTCTCTGCGGGCCATTGAGCTCCTTGCCCCGCCCTTTGCACCCCGCGCGCGCGAGGGGAAGCGCAGCGCGCTGCAATGGCTCGACTGCGACCATAGCACCAGCCTCGACGGGAAGGCGAGCGCGGGGCCCCACCTCCGCGCGGGGTGGGGGGTCCATCCTCGTCCCTGGCCCTCCACCTCTCCCGCTCCGCCTCCCTCCTTCCTCTCCTCCTGCCCCTCCCCCTCCTCCGCCCCCCCATCGCCTCCGCCCTTCCTCCAGTGCCTCCCTCCCTCCGCGTCCCTGCCTCTCCCCGTGTTCCTCCCCCTGCCGCCTCCCGTCCAGCGCCGCGCGCCCGCCGCCCGTCTCCTCTTGCCGCTCGCTCCTCGTCCACCCTCCATCCTCCCTCGGCGTCCGTCGGCTCTTCTTCCCCGTGGGCGCCTCGTGGGCGCCTCGTGAGCTGGATTGGATGGGTGAGCCGAAGAGTCTCGGCTGACTGAGACGCAAGACGTCGGCCTCTCGGGTGACGCGTTGCAGTGCGGGCCCCTGCGATGACGACAACTTGTTGTCCGATGGCGAGCTGGGTGCACCTGGCGGCGCCGTCGCCCCGACACCTCCTGGCGCAGCGCCCCTCGGTGGCGCGGCGACGTCAGCTCGAGTTCGAAGGCGAACCAGGCGGCTCCTGCAGTTTCACAGGTGGGCCACGGGGACTGGGGAATCTCGCCGTCGTCGCGCCGAGATGCTGATCATTTTGGGCCTGTCGGGTTCGTTGTGTGCGGGTGTGTCAGAGGGTCTCTCGGCGTCTCGTCGTGAGCGTGGAGGGGGGGGGGGGGGCGTACATGCTGTTGCGCGCGTTTGCACCTTCTGGGAAGTTTGCGCTTGGAGCCTCAATCTGTTCGCCTTGCATTCGTTATATCGGATGCTTAGATTGTTGGTCGAACCGAGATGCTGATCCTTTCTGGCCTGTCGGATTCGGCGTGTGTGGGTGTGCCAGAAGGTCTCTCGGCGTCTCGACGCGTGGGTGGGCAGGGGGCTTGGCGAATGCTGCAGCGCGCGTGTGCACTTCCTGGGTATTACTGGCATTGTTGATTCTGCATTACTGGTATTCGTATTCTTGGCTATCCATCCTTGGTATTCTTGGCATGGGAGGGGGGACACCCCCCTGGCTAATGTTGTGGTGTGCCCTATCATTCTGGAGTAAGCCGACAATGCAGCCGAGGGGTGGTACACCCCCCTCCCGCCCTGCTACCAAGAATGCCAAGATTTGTCATCCAAAGTCTCCGACGCCATGCACACCTAAAAGAAACCGTCAGACCACGACTTACAAGTATGTGCAACCAACCGCACCAACAATACCCAGCATCCGATACCACGAATGCAAGACGAACAGCTTGAGGCTCCAAGCGCAAACTTCCCAGAAGGTGCAAGCGCGCGCAACAGCATGTACGCTCCCCCCATACACGCACACGACGAGACGCCGAGAGCCCCTCTGACACACCCGCACACAACGAACCCGACAGGCCCAAAATGATCAGCATCTCGGCGCGACGATGGGATTCGCCAGTCCCCGTGGCCCACCTGTGAAATTGCGGGCGCGCCACCACACAGTTTTTGCAATCAGGATGGCGGCCCCTATCGATTGCCATATGGCGCAGCGCGCGCGTACGCGTGCGTACGCGCGCGCGTGCACGTGGAGTAGGAACAAGCCAGCGTTAGATAGTATATCCTCTCATGTAAAGCCACAGGGTCCAAATAACACAATTGGTTGTGACTGCTTATTTACGGTGTTGTGATTTCTCATGATTTGTCATTTGGCGCCGCGCGCGCGTACGCGCGCACGCGGAATTGAATGTATCGCGTAGTGTCTGAGAAATCCGAATTCCGAAGACGCCTACGGCGAATCAGCGCCGCCCCCTGCTAGCATTTTGGGATACGGTTACGTGGCCAAGCGTTTGGACAACCTATGGCCACGCTTCTGGACCATGCGTCCCCCCCGCCGTTGTGGAAACCCTTCGGGGAACACGTGGGGAAGGAAGATGAGGATGAGGAGAGGGAGGCAAAAGGGTGCGGATGATGAGGAGGAGGAGGAGGAGGAGGAGGAGGAGGAGAAGGAGGAGGAGGAGGAGGAGGAAGACGAGGAGAGGGATGATGAGACCTCTTGGGAGCCTCTTGGGGGATTCTTGGGGCCTTTTGGGGGCTGCCTGGGGACCTCTGGGAGGCCTCTCGGGGGCCTTATTGGTCCTCGTGAGGGCCTTTGTTGGCTTCTTGGGTTCCGCTTTGGCAGTTTTGCAGCGTTCCTGGCCCGTCTGACGCCGTCGGGAGCCGTTTTGGGAGCCTCTTTGGGCCGTCTTGGGGCCCTCTTGTATGGGGGGCTTCCTGGGCCGTCTTGGGCGCTCTGAACACCCAAGAGGCGAATTTGTTAGAACTGAACGTTCGCCGATGGGAATGGGCAAGTTGTTGCCCTTCGGGGTGCTCTCGGGGCGTCTGGGTGGCGCCAGAAGGCATAATGGGGCCTCTTGTAGGTCTCTTGGGAGCTTCTTGGGGGCATATTGGGGGCTCTTCGGGGCCATTTGGGGCTCCTGGGGCACTCTTGGGAGCCTCGGGGGCCATATTGGTGCCATCTTGGAGGTGATCGATCAGAGAAGCAGGAGGGGTTCCAATTAGGCCCCCCCTCCCTGGAGGTCCAGTCCAAATGTGGCCAGCACCTTAGCAACATCAGTGATGTGTGCCTTCTCGCCGAGGCCATTTTGTGCGCTCCAGCGGCCCGCCCAACCCGCCCCCCCCCCCCGCCCTTTCCCCGTCAGGTCCAGGGGTAGGGGGAGGGGCAAACGACTCCCCGAAAGGGAAGGAGCGGGAGGCGAAAGAAGCTCTCTGAACCCTTCACGCCCGGAGGGGCTGGTGGGATTCTGCACGCGGTGGGTACTCAACCCGCCATCGGATGACCCGCCCACGGGCGGAGATGCACAAGTCAATTGGCGAGGGGCCCCGGGGGGCGCATGTGACGGCCTGGGGGCGCAGGCGCCAGCAGCGCGAGTGGGCCCCCCATCCCCATCCCCTTCGAGACCCCGCCTGACGGAGCAGAGTCGCGCCTCGGCACGCGTGTGTTCTCGTCTTCGTCTTCGTCTTCTTCGTCTTCTCCGTCGTCCTCTTCCGCGTCTCCGTCTTCTTTGTCGTCCTCTTCGTCGTGTTCGTTGTCGTCTTCGTCCTCATCGTCGTCGTCTTCGTCTTCCCCGTCGTTGTCGTCCTCTTCGTCCTCGTTGTCCTCTGCTGCCTCCCGCCCCCCCCGCGCCCTCACCTCGTCCTCCGCGCCCTACTCTTTCCTGCTCCTCCTCCTCCGTGCCGGCTGCTCCTCCTTGCCCCCCCCTTCTCTCCCTTCTCGCCTCTTCCCCTCTCCCCCACGCTGCTCGGTGCGTTCTCCTCCTTCCCCTTATCCTTCCACTTCTGTCTTTATCAGCTCACTCGCTGTCCCTCCCTCCCCTCCCTGCGCTCTTACCCTCTTCCCCTCCTCCTCCTCCTCCTCCTCCTCCTCCTCCTCCTCCTCCTCCTCCTGCTCCTCTTCCTCCTCCTCCTCCTCCTCCTGCTCCTTCTCCTCTTCCTCATCCTCCTCCTCCTCCGCATCCTCCCACCTAGTCGTATTATGGTCTCCTTGCTCCTCTCTCCCTCTTCTTTCTCCCAGTCCTTCTCTTCCAGTTCTGCCCCCCTCCTCAGTCCTTCTTCTAGTCCTCCCTGCTCGTGCTCCTCCTTCTCCTCCTCCTCCTCCTCCTCCTCCTCCTCCTCCTCCTCCTCCTCTTCTCCCTTCTCCCAAATCCTCCCTGCCCCTCCTCCCCCTCGGTATTCGTTGCCGATGCATGCAGTGGATCCGATGGCCGGAACCGCCATGCTAAAATCTCAGATGAAGCAGAGTATGTTCGCGAGTGAGCATCTCCGTGCATCAGCCCACCCGCCGTTCCCCCTCCTCCACCTCCTCCTCCTCCTCCTCCTCCTCCTCATCCTCCTCCTCATCCTCCTCCTCCTCTTCATTCCTCTCCGCAGCGATTTTGGCTCGGGCCATTAAGCTTGCTACGGGGAGGGGGGGGGGAGCGGACGGCCCAATCGGGGCACGTGGCATGGGTGCCGGGGCCTCGTCTGCTGTGAATCCGACCGAGCCGTCGAACGAGGCCGAGCCCCCAGAGCAGGACCTCGACATTCGGGGCGACCTTCTGGCTAGGCCTCTCGGATGGGGTCCATTTAGATGGGGTCGGAGGATCGCGCAGCATCGCCGATGCATCGGCGATGCATCGCCGATGCATCGGCGAGGTCGGCGTGGAGAAAGTCGGGCTCCACATCGAGCCGCATCGAATATGCATCGGCGATGTGGCGCGACTCTCCGATCCCATCTGCTCAAACCCCATCTTCGGCTGTCGCCAGAAGTGCCCCTGGCCCAAGGTGCCCCCAGGATTTCCCAGGAGGCCCCCACGGCCTCCAGAGCACCCCTCGCGAGGCCCAGCCGGCCTCAGGGGCTCCAAGATCGAGCGAAACATTGGGGGCGCATTGGGCCAGGGGCAATCCCCGACACCTGGGAGGCCTCGAACCTCTCTCCCTGCCCTCGCTCTGGGGGCCCCAGGCGGTGCTGCGGCCGCGCCGCGTGGTGGGTCGGTGGAGGTGTGCGGGGTGGCCGCAAGGTTTTGGGGCACCTGGACCGTTCTCCCAGGGAGTCTCGGGCGCCTGGGGGCCTCCGAGGTCCCGAAGCTGTGCGGTGACGGGCCGTGCGGCGAGGGCTCTCGGGATTTCGAGGCCACCGCACGTTCTGTCGCAGATTTTCTCGTGCTGCGAAACAAAACACGACGGGAGGTGTTTCGCTGTGTTCGGCCTCTGGGGGGCCCTTCCCGGGCCTGGGGACCGTCCAAAATCGACGCAGGATGAAACACCGGTCCCGAGGAAGGGGTCCAGACCTCTGGGGGTCGACGTTGTGAACAAACTCACGGCGTCGGGGGTGCGTGGGGCGGTGGCGGACCGTGCGGCGAGGTCTCTCGGAATTTCGAGGTCACCGCACGGCCCATCACCGCACCGCGCTCTGGGACCCCGAAGCGTTCCCTCGCCCCCGAAAGCCGGCGCCGCGAGAACAAGTCGTGACGGCAAATTCTTGTCATTGTTCCCGGCTTTCGGTCTGCAGAGACCCGCAAGCCGCTGGGGGGCCCTACCGGGCCATCAAGAAGCTCAGAGGAGGAAAAGATACCCATGGCGCTACCCTTCCCTCGTTTTCCCCTTCTTGGGCCTCCTGGGCTGGATTCGCCTCGAAATTCTGGTCAGAACGCGCCCCGGGAGAGGTCCGGGGAGTAGCGGTATCAGTACCTTTTGATCTCCCCAGAAGCGATCCGAGATGAGAATTTCGTCCCAAGATCAAGTGGAGTCCAGAGGTCCAGGGGACGCGCCACGAACAGAGTCGCGGCATCGGATGTCTGCGTGCGTGTGTGGGGACGGTGGGGGTGCGAGCAGCTGTTGCGCGCAGCTGGCTTTGCCCCCGCGGCGCAGCTTCGTCCTCGGTGCATGGTCACGCCCATGGCCTCGAGGTGATCGGAAAACCTCAGTTGATTCGCCAACCTTGACGTCCTCCACTTTCAGGCGGAGGGGACGAATGCGCCCTCGTCGCGGAGGTTTCGGCAAGCGGGCTGCACCTTCTGAGGTCTGAGGTCATCTCGGCCAGCGGATGCCAAACAAAAGTCGACCTTCCTCCAGGATCCCAGGCTGGGAGTTGTACTGCACTGCACATATCCACCGCCTGGGGGACAAATCTTTGTGGGCCCCTTGGGGCCCGCGAACAGCAGTCCCCCAGGCGGTGGACACGCATGGCTTCGGCCTCTTGGGGCCCACGTGCATCCACATATGTTGCCCCCTGTGGTCCAGGGACACCGGCTCCCCCAGGCTGCGGAAATGTACAAATCCCCTCCTCCCAGCCGTCCGCGCTATTGGAATGCGGGGAGGGGGGGGAGAGAGCGTTATGCTTAAGGCCTTTCCTCAAACGCGCGTCGTGTCTCCCCCTGTCCGCTCCCCCTTCCCCCCACAACGTGCGTTGCGGCCATGGATGGAGCATGCTATCCAACACATGTGTCGTTTAGAGAGTGTTCCTCCAATGAATCACCATCATCATGAACTGTGCGGCATCTTCGGGGTAGGGATCATCATCATCATCATCATCATCATCAACATCATCATCCTCATCATCCTCATCATCCTCATGGCCATCAGCATCAGCATCATCATCATCATCGTCATCATCATCATCATTTTCATCATCGTCATCACCATCATCATCAGCAGCATCATCACATGCATCATCGTCATCATCGTTATCATCACCACCATCACCACCATCATCATCAGCATCAGTATCATCATCATCATCGTCATCATCATCATCGTCGTCATCACCACCACCATCATCATCATCATCATCATCATCATCATCATCATCATCATCATATTCATCATCGTCATCACCATCATCATCAGCAGCATCATCATCACATCCATCATCGTCATCATCGTTATCATCACCATTACCATCACCACCATCATCATGAGCATCAGTATCAGTAGCAGCATCAACATCAGCATCAGCATCATCATCATCATACTTATCATCATCACAGTCATGAGCATCATCATCATTTGCATGATCATCATCACCACCACCATCGCATCCTCACCACCACCACTATCTCATCATCATCCTCATCAGCATCAGCAACATCATCATAATCAGTATCAGTATCACCACCGCCATCATCATCAGCATCATCATCGTAATCATCATCTTTATCATAATCATGATCATCTTCATCATCATCATCATCATCATCATCATCATCATCATCAACGTCATCGTCGTCGTCGTCGTCGTCGTCATCGTCATCTTCATCGTCGTTGTCGTCGTCGTCATCTTCATCACTGTTTTTGCTCAAAGCCGCTCCGCGTCGAAATCACATCGTCGGGCTCATTCCTTGCCTTCCATACTGCCACTGCACAAGGCGCCTCCTGTCCGCAGCAAGTCGCGCGGCCATGCCAGAGTTCGTGGCGATCGTGGCAAGCCGCAGGGAGGCATTCCAGCCAGGGCATGATTGACAATTCTGTGTCGATGGGCGGTCAGACATCCGTATCCGCTGCACTATTCCTTGCACACCTGCTCCTCACCCTGCTCACGGGTGGGGTGCTGATCACAAGGGTGACTGCGACCGTGCCTGCCCGCGGCGTGTGAGAGCAAGCTGCACTGGAAGCAGATCCCCAGGACGTTTGCGCTGGCTTGGGTGGGCAAGTTGATTGGCGCCTTGGTCGTCGCCGGCTTTGTCACGGCCTGTAAATTGAACGTTTGCCTCATTTCCAAGCTTGCGACCAATGTATGTTGTGGAAAGAAACGATCAAGGATTTTCGACCACCTTCCTCAACGGAGACGGCTGCAACTGGCTGGTGTGTTTCTGTGTTTCTGCAAGACCAAATGCAGGACATGATTGGCAAGATAATGGGCAACTGGTTCCCCATCTCTTTCTTCGTGGCCATCGCTTTCGAGCATATCCCAGCCAATATGTTCATGACCCCCATGGGGATGATGACCGGTGCCGACGTGTCCGTGCTAGACTGCCTCTGGGGGAATGTCACCCCAGTGACCCTCGGGAACATCTTCGCATGTTCAACCTTCGTGAGCAATGGCCACTCTTCTGCCCTCGGCAGGCTGGGCAGCTCGCCGATGTTCAACATGCCCGCGAGGGAGCTGGGTGCACCGAAGGAGCAGCGGGCCAGGGGCGACAACAAAAGTGTTCCATCTGAGGCACAGGGTCTGTGATAGTGCAGCCTCGATGAGGGGCCTTCGCGTCGTCTTATGACCGTGTAGCGGTTAGATCGTGTGTAGCTTTTTTCACCAGGGCCAACCAGGTTATCCCAAGCAGTTGTGGACTTGCGGCAGCCGGCATATTTTCGGAGTTTACATTGTTTCACAGACGGCACTTGTTTTGATTTGAGTGCAGACACCGGGCTTTCCATCCAGTGTGTACGTAATGCCGCTTTTGCGACTGTTCGATTGTGTTTACTCTCTCGGAGCGAGAGTCGTGGAATGTATAATAGCGGCCCCGTATCCTTATAATTAAATATAATTGGTCTTTCCAGTATACGTCCGATTGCCATCAGGTGCGAGTCGATCACAGTTGTATTCCGTGGCAGTCGACGCAAGCGTCGCCAGAGAGTAAGCCATGCCCACGCGGGTTCGCTTGGGGCGGTGGGCTGCCTGCCACGGACCCCTTTGGCTTCAGACAGCAGCCGGAGGGGTCCAAAAAGGGGGGGGGGTGGGGGAGGCCTTTTCCAGACAGCCCCGCAGGGGCTTCGGAACCTCGTCAGAACGGGAGGGTGCGAAGTCCCTTGGGGACCCCTCCTGGGAACCCCCCTCCCTGAAAACCCTTTCCTGGAACCCTCCGGAGGCGGCCCCGCGCGCCCGTCGGCGTGCGGGGGGGCGTTTTCGGGGCTCCCTCGTCGCCCGCCCCGGCGGCTCTGGCCGGGGCCCCGCGCGGGCCCCGGTGCGCCGTGGTTTTGGCCTTCCTGGGGGCCCCAGGCCACCGCTCTGGTCTGGGCCCCCCTGGGGGCCCCAGGCCACCGCCCCGGCGTCGCGCTTCGAGTTTTGATCCAGTATGGTTCAGTCGGCCTTCTCCCTCTACACCAGGAGTCTCCAAAAATAGTCAAATCATATTTTCTGGGGGGGCATTTTTTTGATTTCTTATATATTTTTTCTTATTGCCATGTTTGATAGCTTTTGTTGGCGATCGTCGTGCAAAGTTGATCGCGGGCACGAAACAGCGGGGCGGGCGCCCCCCCCCCCCCCGCCCCCCCATGCTTGGGCGAAAGGGAAGGGGGGCGCCGCGTGGCGCGCAGCGGCGCGGGGCGACGCAAGCCCAAGCGATGGGCGCGAGGCGTCGCACAATCCGCCCCGCTTGCATGGGCGAGCGCGCGAAGGGGGCGCGTGCGCCGACCAGGGTTGGGAGGGGCGCCGCGCACGCTCGGCCGGGGGGGTGTTCCGCCACGTTCGGCGAGGGGGCACCCGCAGTGCGGCTTTTGCTCGCCCACCGTGTCTGTGGGCGCGGGCGCCGTCGTGCGCTCGTCCATGCGTTGGGCACGTGTGGGTCGTGTGTTTGCCCCTTTGTGGCACGTTGC